GGGGTGCAGACCGCACAGCACGGACGGACGACAGGACGGGGACGCGGCACAGAGGCCGCGAGGAGGCCGGCGGAACCCACATGAGGACCCGCACACTGAAGCCAGAGATGGCGGCGGGTGGCGTGGGGGGGGGCGCTGTGCACGGCGCGCGGGCCAGGTGGGTGGGCGACCCGTTTCCCAGCTACAGGTCCCCAGACTTTGAGAAGCCGCATGGAGACAGGTGCGAGTGCCGCCCCTCCAGTGATGCTGAGCTGGACACAGCGCCCGGTGGCCTTCGGTGGCCGCGCTCTGGCAGGGATCACTTCGGCCCATCTGGCCATCGTCCGCTCTCCTTTTTCATGACGGAGCCCCGAGATGCAGCTGGACACACGGCTGCCCCGGAAGACTGCGCCCGCCCTTTACACGTGAGGGAGGAATTAAGGCAGGCCCAGGTAAACAAACAAAAGCCGCCTGCAGGACACCAGACGCAAGACACCGGACACGGGGAGCACGTGGGGGAGACGGGAGGGCGGGGGGGCGACCGGCCCCTGGAGAAAGCGAGCACGATTTGGTTTCCATGTGATTTAAGAGACTCATACATTTTTTGAACAGGCGATGATTGGTCCGAAAGCTGGTATTATTGTATCTTGGGTTTGCAGCTCCATGTTTTGTTTTCTGCGTAACAGAGACTAACGCACTTGCAAAAATGATCGGTTTACGTTACTGGACACGCAAGTTATAAGAGCAGAATTCTGGGGCACTGACGCCTGCGGAGGGGACGTGGCTGGCCGTGCAGCAGTGAGAGCTCCACGGCCTGACGCGAAGCTGCCAGAATCCACGTCAGAGCTGGGACCTTCGGGTGTTAAGTGGGATCTCCATGGTAACCACAAAGAAAACAGATATAGAAGTGCGTAGAAGGAAACGAGGAAGGAATTTAAACACTTCACCACAAAAAATTCAACCAAACACAAAGGAAGACCACAGTGCAGGGACCGAGGGTTGAGAAAAGCTACAGGGCACAGAGGGGCCGAGGGGGACGCGGGCAGAAGCCAGCCCTTCTGTGTCAAACCGCCTTAACCCTTAACGAGGCGGGAGCCCTGCCATTCACGACAGCGGGGACGGACCCCGAGGCCCGTGTGCTGAGCAAAACGGGTCAGACACAAAAGGGCCAACCCCGTCCGATGCCCCTTACGTAAGGCGCCCAGAGGAGCAAACGCAGGGGCAGAGAGCAGGGCAGGGCCAGGGCTGGGGGAGGGGCTGGGCGGGGTTTTCGTCCTGCAGGATGGGGGACACCTGCCGTGGACGCCAGTGATGGGCTCGGCTAGGGACGCACGGGCACCACTGGGCTGTGCCCCTTGCGTTTACGATGGGGAATTCTACGCTGTGTTAGCTTTAGCACAAGAAAAGCTTGAAGGAGAAACTGAGAGAGAGAGAGACTGAAGGATGTCACAATCCAGCACGATACGTGATCTCATCTCCCAGCTCGGAAAGCTGGCCTGGGGACGGCTGGGCACACGCGGATGTGGACGGCGACGGGTGGTCAGTAGGGCTGTTGCTGGTCTCGTTAGTGCAGACTGTCAGCCCACACTCCCTCCCCTCCCGCTTTGGGCCTGCTCTCCCGTGTGGCATGGCACTGTGGGGGGCGTGTCTCCACCTCGGTGACGGTGACAGAGGGGGTGCCGCCTGGCTCGCTTCGGCCAGCAGACTGTTCGGGAGATGTGAAGTGAGGGGGGCTGAAATGTGCTCGCGTGGCGGCCCAGTCGTTCCCCTGTGAGCGGCCCGTGCTGGGGAAGCTGCTGCCCAGAGGCTGGGGCTCCCGGCTCACCTGCGGCCTGGAGCACAGCTGCCCAGCCCGGCCCGGCCCAGCCGGGGTCTGCCGAACCAGCGGCGGCCTGCACACCTGTGAGCGTGCGACACAAGCTTGTTGCGGGCACAGGCTGTGAATTTAGGCACCGTTTGTGTGACACATCGTGTGGTCAGTGCTGACCAGTGCGGTTAGGGGACACTGGTGTGGTGGTTTCTGTAGAAGACCCTTGTTTGTTGGAGATGCCGAGTCCTAGGAAGGGGCGTGGGCGCTGGGCTAATTTACTCGGGAGAGGATCAGGTAGGTGGACAGAGGAAGCGACGTGGGCCGCTGGACCCGGGTGGTGGCGTGAGGGCGTCCAGGGTGGCGTTCCCGCTGCTTCTCACTGTGCTCGGAATCGTTCTTAGGAAAAGAATCAGTTCTGCACAGCAAAGGGAACGCGGACAGGACATAAAGGCACCCGCGGAACGGGA